GAAATGCCCAGGTTTACAGAAGTACGGTAACTCTTTTAAAAAACAAAACATAAACACCCCTAATGGACCAAACCCTCCAAAATCCAGTGCAATGAGTACTGAGTGTACATTGTACCCATGGAGTGTTGAGGGAAGGTCAAAAGGGGAAGGTTTAATGAATTGGGGTATCATGGAGTAAGGCCTGTCTGTCTGTCTGGGAGAAGCACTCTTATTAGGAGATGAAGAAACACTGCAAAATTTTGTTGCGGGTCCCCTGTGTACATTCATATACCAGTGATTAATGTCCACTCTGAAAACCTACGTTTGGCTGCTTCTAAAGAATGGCTTCTGTTGTTTAAAGGAAGAACCTAAAAAAGTTTTTTATTAGTACACAGCACTGCTAGTTCAGACTCTCCTTTTTCCAAGGGACAAGACAGCCCTTTCCCTTCAAAGGCCTTTTTTTAAAAAAAGGAGAGAGATCAAAGTTTGAAACAATGTTCCTGAAACACAAGTCGTGCTTGGCATTATTTCATATGCCCTTCATTTTTTATTTGACTGTTTATACAAAAGACAGGCCTGAGTTCATTTATATCAGTACAGCCCAACCATGATATTCACTGAGCAGTTAACTCACATACAAAGCAAGAAAGAAAAAGGGAAAAAGTGACAGTCTATCTATCTCACTTGGCATTTTTATATGTTCTTTTTAACCAAAAAAAAGGGGGGAGGGGGAAAGGAAGAGGGAAAAAAAACTGTTTACAAAGTGGAGTGTCAGTAACATTGTGTAAAGGAATACTTATCTGAAAAACTTTGATCTTTTCCTGAAGCACCATTACTCTGAGCCTGAAAGGCTAATGGCTCTTTGGGTGGGAGAGAGAAAAAGTTTTCTCTTTCTCCGCCCCCCCTTCTTTCTCCCAACTGGAGACAAAGAAAGTTTATTGTGCTATCTAGTGGACACATTTAGAAAGCCCGACTCCTCAGAAATAAACTGTGGCAGGCTAATCCCCTATCCCAGAGGTTGCTACGTATATGGGAATGAAATAACAAAATGACCAGGCCTAGCCTAATGGGATACAAGTTGGAATGTTGTGCCTCGAGGACAGGCCTGCTATCTCACTCACTTAAGTAATGGACAGACTAATGCAGCTGAGAGCGAAACCAGACACACTTGCCTGCCTGTAGAATCCAAAGTTATTCATTTGCTTATATTCCCTGTATCTCTTTTTCACTCTCTTCTTTTCTTTTGCATTTCAGTTACACTTAATTCAAATTAGTTGTCCCACAGGCTTTACTTTATGACTACATGCATACTAAGTGATTTGCATGTGGATAGCTCAGTTGGTTGGAGCGTGGTGTTGATAATACCAAGGTTGCAGGTTTGATCCCTGTATGGGGCAGTTCCATATTCCTGCATTGCAGGGGGTTGGACTAAGATGATCCTCAGGGTCCCTTCCAATTCTATGAGTCTAGGGTTTCTAGGTTTGGACCAGTGCCGGATTTATGTCCAAGCTAAACAAGCTATAGCTTACCCCCAAAATATACTTCTTCTTAATTGTATTTCACTATTAATATACTTCTTCTTAATTGTATTTCAGTTCAACAATTACTTTGATAAAAAACATATTTTGTTATATGCAAATGGCTTTAGATACCTATTAGGTCCATAAATTACCATGTAGCATATATTCAACACAAAAAAACAGCGGCAATTTGTTGTTGACAAAGGACAGCTGGACACATAAAGGGTCCCATTACCTTCAGTAGCTTAGGGGCTCATCAAACCTAAATCTGGCCCTGGTCTGGACTTAAAGCAATGGAATGAAGATGTTAAAGGACACAAGCTACCCCAATTAAACACTATTAAGGTCCCAGGTTCAAGGTTCTTGTACAAAGCCCTGAATAACTGCAGCCCAGGATACCTTAAGGACCACCTTACATTGTTCCCACCAAGTCGATCACTAAGATAATCAGGGCAAGCACTACTAGTGGTTTCATAGAAGGCCAGAGACTCAACTCATGTCAAGGAGGAGTCATGCCTTCAGTGTTGTGGACTCAGCTCTATGGAACACCCTTCCACAAGAAGTTGCACAGGAACCGTCCCTTTTCAATTTTAGGCACCTGGTCAAAACTGGTTTATTTCAGGAGGGCTTTTCACTCTGAATGCTTCTCAGATGTTTTACTTTTTAGAGATTTTAATTTCAATATTAAAATTTGGAGGTTCCATTTATCTTTTAAATATTGTATATTGCAATAGAGACCTACATGGTAAAAAGCAGGATATTATTTTTTAAAAAATAAATACATTTAAAGCACATGGTTTCCCCAACAAATCTTGGGAACCATAGCTTATTCCACACGGTGCTATTATTCCCATAAGCCTTAACAAACTACAATTCCCTGGGTTCTTTTGGGGGGATGCCAAGCACTTTAAAAGTGCATTAAATGTGCTTTCAGGGTATGGTGTGGCTATGAGCTAAGTCTCAATGATTTCAGAAGGAAAGTTAAGCACAGAAAGTATTACCTTTCTCTTGTTGAAATAAATTACCAATCTTTGAAATGTTTTCCTTTGGCTGAAACATATTTACTGTGGGTTTTTTTCTGATGAAATTGCTAAAGTTCTGTAGTCCGGGATCTGAATTGTTAGAACTGAGGCAGAAAATCCAAAAGTGAATGGCTATACCCTGGTGCCATAAGTCTGTGCATTCTAATGACAGGCATCTGTTTTGAACATATTTCTATTTTTGTCTTAGCAGTTAAGAAAGAGTTTCTTAAGAAGAAGATATACTCTTGAAATATAATCAGAAATCCAACGGCAAAATAATAATGTATGGACTTTATTAACAAAACTTGTCACAGCTAATTCACATGATCCAAAACCAGCCTTCATCAAGTGCGAAATTCAAAGTGTATTGGTCAAGTAGGCCTTTGAACCAAATTGCTGTCCAGCATATGATGAGTGAAAACAAAATCTTTGTCTCATCATGTGCTGAACAGCAATTTGGAGGGTGTGCTGAATTACTCATATGATTGCTTCAGTGTCCGGCCAGCTGTTACATGTATTGGATCTGCCACATGCTGTGGGCCAATTGTAAGTTGGCCCTCACTGGAAGCCCATTCATTACCGGTTTTACTGCCATCCCTTCAACAGTGCGCCATTGTTTCCTCTTACACTGCGGGGCTTGGCATGCTATTGTCTCACATCTGTCCTAAGAGGATGTAATCTTGGAAGGAAGCTTCAGTGTGTGGGAGCATGCAAATGCCAGAATTGCAAACAACCACACTGGGTGCAATCCACCCAGCTCAGAACTTTCTCCAACTGCACCAAGCTAAATGGAGGAATTGTGGTCATCAAATCACTTGGCGTGCTGCTTTCGTGACTGCCAGTTCTGCTGTGTGTAAAAGGAAGATGGGCAGAGGCAAAGGAAAAGCATAGTGTGTAGAAACATAGGAAGCCACCTTACACAGTGGTATAAGACTACTGGTCTATCTAGGTCAGTATTGTCTACAGGGATTGGTAGTGGCTCCCTAGGGTTTCAGACTGGGTTCTTTCCCACTCCAACTAGATATGCTGGGAATTGGACCTGGGATCTTCTGAATGCAAAGAAGAAGCTGTACCCCTAAACTACATCACTTCTGCGGCCCTGACACATAATCACAGAATGGTAGAAGTGTAGAGTTGGCAGAGATCCTGAGGGTGATCAAGTCCAACCCTCTGCAATGCAGGAATCTCAGCTGGATCATGCATGACAGATGACCATCCAACCTCTGCTTAAAAACCTCCAAGGAAGGAGAGTCTACCACCTCCCAAGGGAGACCAACTGATAAAGACTCCTGAACAAAGCTTACGAATTTCAGCAAATGCAGTGCTGGAAATTTCCGTCATCAGAAATGTTGTAGGAGCAAGAGTTAGCTTTATTTGTTGATATGGTGATGGCAATTATGTATATAGCACACTCAATCTGCATGGCATTTTATTGGGTTGCAGACAAATAACAAGTCAAATCCCTGACCTCAGGAACTTCCAATCAATAATTCTTGAACTAACACTTTCCACATAGTACTTAGAATGTGGCATCTGCAGCAGAGCTCATGTGTACGAACTCACAGGGACTAGCTGGATGATGAGGAGAGGTGGAAGGCGACAGCTAGGGAACCCCCAGGGGAGATCCAGTGGAGGAATGCTCAGAGGGATTGGTGGTGGGACAATGAGGAGAGGTCAGAGGGGGCTTGGGAAGAGATACTGGATACTGATGGAACAACAGGGTTTAGTGAGCAGGAGGAACCGGTGGCAGGGAGCAGTTCAGACTCCGAGGCTGAAGCAGACGAGGGCAGGTCAAGAGACTGAGGAAGCATCCCACGACTTTCCATCTCCAGTTGTGACAAGCTTCCTGATCTCCAACAACACGCAGGATAATGAGGAGGGCAGAACAGAGACCAGAGGTGGTCAGACCCAGTTTGAGACTGCTTGTGAAACATCTGGGATAGGAGGAGCCTTAGGAGGGGTGGAAGGCAGGGACCTTCAGTCCTGGCAACTACTCTAAAGGGGCAAGACCTGTGGGGAAGTGTTGCTGAGCTGTGTGCCATTTCCTTGAATAAGGGGTTAACTTCACTGACAACTGACTCTGTCTCCTTGCTCTGACCTTCATTGACTCTAGCCTTGACACATAGGCGCTACCATTTCTGCAAAGAGAGACGGGGAGGAAGCAAGCCAGAAATATATGGAAGAGAAAGCTCATATTCAACCACCCCCAGAAGCTTGGCATGTCATTAAAATATGTGCAATGTAGGTGCCAGGTGCACAGGAATAAGTTTCTGAAAGTAAGAGCTGTTCAACAGCGGAACGGTCTCCCTTGGAAGGTGGTTGGTTCTCCTTGCTTGGCGTTTTTTTAAGCAGAGGTTGGGTAGCCATCTGCCATGCATGATCTAGCTGAGATTCCTGCATAGCAGAGGGTTGGACTAGATCACCCTTGGGATTTCTGCCAACTTTACAGTTCTATGATTCTCCACTGTTAGAGGCAAGATACCTCTGAATTGCAGTTGCTGGGAAGAGTGGGGAGAGAGCTGTTGCACGCATTTTCCACTTGCAGAATTCCTGTAGGAACATTGGACTAGAGGGGACTTTAATCTGATCCAGCAGGACTTCTCTTATGTTCGGAGCACCGGAGCCACTACTGAGAAGACTCTTCTATATGTCACCAACCCTCAAACCTCCCCAGCTGAACATAGTTCCCAGACAGGTTTTATGGGAAGAGTCAACCTTTCAGGTATGTGAGACCCAACTCACTTAGGGCTTTATACATTAAAGGCAAGACCTGGAATTGGCCCCAGGTGTGACTAGGCAGCACCCTCCAAAGAGCTGGGACATGAGCCCTCCCAGTCACGCCTCGAAGCACACTGGCAGACACATTCTGCACTCGCTGCAGCTTCCAACTATCTTCAAGGAAGCTTGTTTTTGTGTGTTCATGCTATACATTGCCTTGAATCTGCTGTGGTGGCAAGTGGTATAAAAATGTTACAAATAAAGCAAAAGGGGAAACAGGGACACTCTCCTCAAAGAAGCCTGCACTGGGTGAGAAATGTGGGGAAGGCATGCACAGGGTGAGGAAAACAAATGCACAGAGTTGCACTTTGGAATTACAAAAGAATGTCCGCTACACATGTGTGTCTAATCTTGTGCTCATTTAAAAAGAAGAATCAAAACCGGACCCTTTGAATGCTGAAGAACTTTTGTGGATTTTCGGAAGGCTCAAAAGAATGTTCAGATTTTTTCTTTATGCCCACAGTCCCATTTCCAAGTGGGAGGGTGAACCTCATATTGAGGACCAGGACAGGGTAGCAGACTGCAGAGGTGAAGCTGAGACAGCCTCTCCTACCTCTTCAAATTATTTGTAAAGTGGAGATGCTGCCAGCTTATTGACACTGTTAATGTCATTTTCCACAGGGAAACATGGTCCCCGGTGAGGGATTGGAGAGAGATACTGACAGCATTTCTACGCTAACAGTGTCTTCATAAAATAAGAGAATGAGGGATCCCTCTGCCATCTGCTACTCCATCCTAGCCCTCCGGGTGAGATCTTTGCTCCTGGGAGAATGGAGCAACAGCTCGTGAAGGGTGTGCATACACATAGAGTCAAGGGAGACATGTGTCTCTCTGGCCCCCTTCCCAGACTGAGCAGAACATCTATAAATATCCACTGTGCATAATGTCTGCATAGGTATTTCTTAGGAGGCAGGCAGATGTATGAAAGGTGGGGCTGGCAGGACACATAATGTCAGGCACAGTGCCAGCAGATGTGATTCTACTCTCCACTGGAGTAATGCAGCAAAGGCAATGACATATCTGCCAATATCGATACATTCTGGTTGAAAGGAAGGATGGAAGAAAGTTTGATCTACCTATGTATCCATATTGTGGGGAGGGGAGATAAATCTATGAGTTCAAGTCAGCACCTTGAACAATTTAGAAAAGCAGGATGGTGATTGTTTTAAGAATGGATGGATGGCACCATTCTCAGCATCTAGGATAAAATGGAATTCTTTGCAGCTTATGCATGTAGTGGAGAGTTTAATAGTGATATGTAATACTAACTCATATGCCTGTTATTTTTGTCCAGGGAGAGCTGGACCATAAAGAAGGCTGATCGCCGAAGAATTGATGCTTTTGAATTATGATGCTGGAGGAGACTCTTGAGAGTCCCATGGACTGCAAGAAGATCAGACCTATCCATTCTTAAGGAAATCAGCCCTGAGTGCTCACTGGAAGGACAGATCCTGAAACTGAGGCTCCAATACTTTGGCCACCTCATAAGAAGAGAAAACTCCCTGGAAAAGACCCTGATGTTGGGAAAGATGGAGGGCACAAGGAGAAGGGGACGACAGGATGAGATGGTTGGGCAGTGTTCCCAAAGCTATTAACGTGGGTTTGACTAAACTGCAGGAGGCAGTGGAAGACAGGAGTGCCTGGCATGCTTTGGTCCATGGGGTCACGAACAGTTGGACGTGACTAAACGATTAAACAACAACAACAACAACTCCTCATAGGGTTCAAAGCTTTGCACACTTATAGGATGTCAGTCCCATTCAAATTAGTAGGATAGGCTTCCTTCTGATCATACTGACAAGCATAGGGTTATGTTGTATATAATATCTGCTGGAATCTGGGGTGGGGTGGGGGTGGACAATGCACACTGACCTCTTTGCAATTGCAAGCTAAAACCTAAACATAATAAACTGCATTTAAAACCGTGAAAAGAGATGCAGAACTGTGACACCAATGCCTTTTCTCCTTCTAATCATTGGCACATCGGCACAGACCGCAGCTAAGTTTGCATGTCTCTTCCTCACTCCCTTTCCAACCTAAAACTCAAGGAACATTTAAAAACACTTGGGGAAACTTCTTTCGAAAGAACAAACAGAGAGAGAGAGAGATTAATTTTTCCACGGCAGCAACACTATTAATAAAAAAGAAAAGCTGCAATGCCATCTACAAAACAGAGGGAAGTGGGGAGGGGGGGGGGAGAGAATGAGAAGCACCCAGCTAATAATATGAGCAGCGACATGTTGTCAATACAAATTCAGCACCCAAGCAGTACTACTGACATCTTGTGGTAGAAGAGAGTGACAGCTCCTCTTTACACCTTCTCCATGAGAACACAAGCTGTCCATAAACATCAAGCCATGTCATTACTCATACATCAGCAAAGAGACATCTGGGATTTTGATAACTGCTGCCAGAATGTACTAATGCAGACTGCTGTAACTTCTCTTCCTCTCTCTCCCCCCCCCCACCCCACTGTTCTTGGCTGTGACACACAATCATTCAGCGCCAGCTTTCCCTTTCTTTCCAAAAACCTCTTGAACTGGAAACTGCCCCCCCCCAACAACAATCGCCACCACCACCAATGAATCACAGTTGTTGCTTGTTACATTGACAAGATAAGACTGTTTCTAGGCACAGTTTTTCAGCTGGCAATTATCCTTTTCCTCTCAGGTGAATATGTAAGAAGTTCTAAGGCAGGAAATTTTCAGGGCTAGGGGTGTGCTCATCCTTTCCTCATGATTGTCGGTTGCTTAGTTTAGAGCAATCCCACTGGCTTTAGCTAGGCTACTCCATAATACATAGACGGAATGACTGTGTTCAAGTATAATACAAAACATAGTTTGGCATTATGTGCAAATGCCTGAATGAGCCAAAGGGTGCAGCTTGCAGGCTTCTCCTTCTCCCTTTCTCCTTGCACTTAGACTTCACTACAAGAGTTTAGTTTACTTTTAAGGAGTCTCTGCTTTGCCTTACAGTCAAGCCAGGGACCCTAGTTTAAAGCAAACTTGAGTCAGTTTCATAATAAGCCAAATTCAATCCATGGGGTAGGGAGCTTATTTATTAAGCTACTATCAAACATTTGCACTGAGTTTTCCGGGAAAGGGGAAATTATTTCTGGATTAGGAGGGTTTAGTATGAACCAGGACAATCACTTGGGTGTGATTTAGATTAAAGGGGCTGAAAAAGAAAACCACTTTGTTTTATTCTTTCATTTATTCTTGGAAAGATATTTTATTTGGTCAAATTAGACAATTAGGTAATTGGTGTATATGGCTTGGTGAATCAGCACTGACTTAATATTATTATTTATTAAATTTGTTAGTCGCTTTATCTTGCCTAGGGCAACTCAAGGTAACTTACAAACAGACAATAAACCCCACATAGGTACAGTAAAACCAAGAGGAAAGAGAAATACACCGAAAACATCTCACTCACTTCTAAAAGACCACAGATAATTAAAGATCAAAGGTTATAGAGGAAAGCTTTTGCCTGGTGCCTAAATATATGTTGCGAAGGCACCAGGCGAGTTTCCCTGTAGAGAGCATTCCACAAATGGGGAGCTACTGCAGAAAAGAGCCATTCTTGTGTTGCCACTCTCTGGATTTCTCATAAGGGAGCACACAAGGAAGGACTTAAGGTGATGATTTCAGGGTCTGGCTCAGTTCATATGGAGAGGAGCAGTCCCTGAGGTATTGAGATCCTGAGCCATTTTCCAAAGCAACACTTTGAATTGGGCTGAAAACTAATTGGCAACCAATGCAGTTGGGCCAGGTTTGGTGTTTTATGCTCAAACCATCTTGTTCCGGTGAGCAACCTGGCCTCTGAATTTTGCACCGGCTTAAGTTTCCAAACCATTTTCAGAGGTAGCTGCACATATAGCACTTTGCAATTATCTAACATAGAAGTTCCCAGAGCATAGATGAAGGAAGTTAGGCTATCCCTGTCCAGTAAAGTGTGCAGCTGGGCCACCAGCCAAAGCTGATGGAAGGAATCCCATGCCACTGAGGCCACCTGAGCCTCAAGCGACAGCAATGAATCTAGATGTTGCTCCAAGATATGTACCCACTCCTTCAAAGGGAGTGTAACCCCATCAAGAACAGGCAACCTCACATCCATCCTGTCTAGCGAACCACCCACTAAGAGTGCCTCAGTCTTATCTGGATTGAGCTTCAGTAGATTGGTTCCAATCCAGTCCATTTCCAAGACGAGACACTGGTCCAGCACTTCCACTGCCACATTTGCCAATATAAAGGAGAAGTAGAGATGTGTGTCATCAGCATATTACTGACAACATACTCCAAAACTCCAGATGGCCCTAGTCAGCGGTAAGAGCTAATTTTGTAGTTAGGAGTAGTGAGGTTCCTAAGTTTTTGATAAAGGGGTGTGCATGGCTTGAAAATGACACCACCATCCAGAAATTTAATTTATCAGCCTAGACAGCTAACTAATGATACTTTACTTTTCTCTCTGTCCTCTACACTTCCATTTCCTAAATCTCACTTCCTTTCTACCCTGACATTGTCCAAACACCAGTTGTTTCTATTTGAGCATTCTGCATCCCGGCTTCCACTGCAGCCTTGCCAGTTCTTTAGAGCCTGCCCCATGCCGTATGCAGAAAACTCTGCACCCCCCATCTATTGCTAAGATAGAAACCACAGTTTAAGCTATCGGTTCAGGCAATGTGGCTTTGAGTAGCCCATATATTAGCTTGTAACTGCTCTGGAGAGAGTTCCACACCCACAGGAGTTTCCAATTATTAATGCCAATAACACTCTTGCTTACTTGGGATAATTAGCAAGAACCAATATATGTCGTGATAAATGCAGATAAAATATTGAGTTACACAAAATGGGGGACAGTGATAAAATGACTTTGTGTCTTGAATCGTAAGGGCGCAGAACCAGCGAAATGGTTAGTTGTTACAAGTTAATACACACAGGCATCCCAAACTTCTATTGCCTGGAATAACAGCTTAAAACTATTTCTATGCTCGCAGTAGGAATACTGAGTGTTCTGAAAACTGCTTCTGTGAATACATGGGTAACCCATGTGTTTGCATAAATGTGTAAATAAGAAGACAGAAAACAGCACTTTCAATGTAGAATGAAAGCGCCAGCCAGAGGAGCCGGCTCTGGCACTAAGCAGACTGAGGAGGCTGCCTCAGGCAACAGAATCCCCTCAGGCAGCAGTCCTGCAAGTGCCCCGCCAGCAGCAGCGCAGAATCAGTGCCAGTCCAGTATTGGTGGTATCTTTCCCAGCTGTTTTGACAATCATTTATTTGTTATTTATTTAAGGCATTTCTATACCATTTAATCATTAGCATTAGTTTGTGACGTAGGGAAATAGCTGCCTAGTTACTGTCCTGTTAGGCTTCTGTCTTTGACAAAACAAGCAGCCAGCCAGCATGTGTGAACCGGCCCTCAATGATTTATTGATCAATGGTTCCTGAACAAGGAACATGCATGACATCTGAACTCACTCTTGCCACCGGACAGGAAGAAGCACTTTCTCCCGTTGCCCTGGCTGCTCCCAAGTTTGTGCTATCCAAGCTCTGACAGATCCTTAACCATTGTTCATTGTAGACTGCTGCCACCACGTCATTTATCAACTGATGAGAATATTATTATTATTATTATTATTATTATTATTATTATTATTTCCCCCCTTTCTCCCATGTTGGGATTCAAGGAAGCTTGACACACAACCGGTAGAGATCAAAAAACATTTTCTGAACAGGACAGAAAAAAGTGTTCATTAGAAAAACAAATGCTGCTTTCAAAAAGCATGGCTTTTATGCGTGAGCTTCCTTTTTTCTTTAAAAAAAAAACCTGCAACAATCTCCAGTTCTTGTAGACTTCTGCTGCTGAAATACAGTTGGGAAAAGGGGGTTGGGGGGGGGAGAAGCTCTGTTCTGACTTGAAACTCTACTGTACACCATACTCCATTTCTCCTCTGTTTAGGTGTAAATAATACTTGATGTGCAAGAAGCTCTCCCTTTCATATTCATTACTGTCATAGATTTGAAAAGAAAAAAGCAGAGGTCATTTATTAGAGGCTGATTTTCATGCAAAACACCCTGTGGTTGCTGTCACTCAGAGCTACTTAGTCTACGCCCTCAGCCATCTATTAGCAGGGCTGCAGGTCATAACCTTTTGTGGCATTTGGAATTCTAGAACCTCTGATTAGTGCAATATTTACATATCCTTCAGGAAAAAAAATGTAGCTCTATAGAAATGCACGAAGTCTTGTAAATTTGTTTGGCCTTTTGTCTGGAATACATATGGACTCTGAATTCAAAGTAGGGTGCATTAAACTATATTTGTTCATAGTGTTAGAGCTGCTCTGTTAATGTGGCAC